GCAGTGTAATTCAATTCAGAATTTCTCAACAATTCACATATAACTGGAAACAGATACACGACTCTGCATGATCTATGTGCACAGTAGTACAGCGCCTACTTTCACCTCTACAAAAGATCGTTTCAGATGGCACGGTCATGATTGGCATGACAATGATCAAAAATCAAAGATTTCAAGACAGACCCGCTCTGCTTTATCTCCGTCATTGCACTTAGTGAGGATTAAGGTAGGACAACTCAGTGGGCTAGGTGTCTGTTTTCATCAGCTTCCATTCTGGTAAAGCACTAAATCCTACAGAGCTGATGTACAGGGCTGATTCACTTTAACACACACACAACACACACACAACACACACACACACACACAACCAACACAACACACAACAACACACCACACACACACACACACACCGTGTATGCATAGAGAGTGTATGCGTTTTAATATCCACATGTCCATAAGTCTTTGCATGTGTGTGTGTGTGCAGGGATTTACGCCTGTGGGTGTATGGGTGATCGCAGTAACCGTACATCCTACTGCTAATCAGTCCCAGAATGCAACGCTTCCCGGTGCCCCTCGCTCCATGATGACTCAGGAAGAGGAGAACGCGGTGAGGTGACGTGTTGAAATACGAGCAGAAATGAGGGCTCTAACGAGAGACAGCGGGGAGGAAGTGTCCGTACAGAACGGTGATTTCTGATGTGGAAATGACTGGGTTAAATCAGAACATGTGTGGAGGCTTTGACGAGACAGGAGGACAATGCAGAGAGTGGAGAGAGGTACGGAGACTTTATTGGGCCTGATAAGTCAGATTTAGACCTGGTGGCCATTCAGAGACTATCCATAACGTACTGCCTACACACACACACGAATCAGTCAAACCTTGTGATTAAACTGTAAATCATGACAATGAATCTAAATCCTTTTTGAGCCTCCAGTAATTCAGATTTTGCTTCCTGGAGTTCTACAGTTTTACTGCACTTTCTGCCACAAAGCAATGAGATCCCCTGGGTGCAATCATTCCAAAGCTCAACTCTAGACTTAGTGAGAATAAATTGTGGAGTTTCTCACTTGAGCACACATCCTGCTATTCTTCTGTCTATATTTGCTTAAACTGAGTGCGTACGTGTGTGAGCCTATATCATACAGACTGTAAATCTGTGTCCCTGTACTGTGAAAAGAAAAAGTGCATGCAACATTGTCAGTCTAGTGTCAATATATGAAGCACATGCTGGCTTTAGGGACCATTTCCTGTAATGCATGAATGATGTGGCATCTGAGAGCGAAAGGAGTTTGTGTGACTTCCTCCATCCACTACCTACCAGCTCTGAAGAGGGCTCCGGCAGCATAGTGCATGGCCAGAGCGTGGACTAGCTGCCTGGCCGTGGTGCACAGCGGCCCCCTCTCAAACAGGGAGAAGGAGAGAGGAGTGTGGTCTGAAGCGATGTACAACTTCAGGGAGGCGTGGATGCTGACCAACAGGTTGACTGGCTGAATGGTCAGCCTCTGCAGCCGCACGGGGTGGACCAACGCCTGCACCGACTGAAGTACCTGGAAGACATTTACTAGTTTTAGTATTTGACATATGCTCACCAGCCTCATCAGTAACCTAAATAAAAACATTACAATATGAAAAGTGCACCTGTTCAGGGAGGATGGGGGCCGATCCAGGCTCTCTACTCCTCTGGATCTCTGCTGTGGGTGAGGCTGAAGCCATGGCACTGTCAGGGATGTAGGTGTGGAACAGGGTCTTAATGTAGTAAACAAAGGTGTCTTCAAGGTAGACTCTGGCAGGCTGGAGCTGGAAGGTAATCTGAGGAGAAAGCACACAGAACCATTATATAACTGCTGATTCCTGATTGTTATGAAAGGGATAAACTGACTTAGACACACAGATTTATCTGTCTCTTTAATAACAGGGCGGCTTTCAAGTGTGTAAAGAATTTTGTCTTTTCTGACATAAGTAAAAATGCAGTCAGTATCAAGGTGACTGTTATGTAATGAACAAAAAAACCCACAACATTTTGTGATTAATATTACTGCCCATGAGCCAAACTTACTGCAACTTAATGTTGCTAAGTTACTGGTAAGGTGGTTGCTATGTGGCTATGTACTGCATAATGCTAGATACTTAAACACCCCCTTGACTCAAGTGAAAATCTGATTTTAAGGGGCAGGGCCTACGAGTGTGATTTGTAACATCACGAATTTCAGGAAGTCAGTCCTGGTCCAGTATGTAACTTGTACAGTGTGATGTAGAAACTTGAAGCCACCAGTGCACATCCACTGAGAATGGACTTCTTGAGACATTTTGTATGGAACATTTTAGAAATTCACAACTTTAACTTTCTTGGGTGTTTAGGTGGTTGCTAGGGTATACCATCTGATTTCAGGAGTCCCAGAGGTAGTACTAACAGCGCTGTTAGTAGCAGAAGTGTGCTGATAAAATTCAAACGTCTACTGCAACAAAGAAAATGCAAACTTAAATACATAAGAATGAATCTGACCTCCTCCACAGTGCATCTGTCCCCAGCCAGCACCATCCTCAGCTGCAGGAAACAAGAGCGCTTGAATTCCTCCAGGGCTTCAATAGACTCAGCAGGGTTAGCGTCACTGCTCCACGGACCCCCGTGCTCTGCTCCCCCTCTCTGATCCTGGCACAGCAGCACGGGGAAGTGGAAACTTGCTCGGTTATACAGCTGGTTGTCTACTTGCAGACTGGAGCAGTAGACCTCAATCAGAGAGGCGTCGGGCATCAGAGCGGAGATGGGTACTGCGCCCACGCCAGGGTCGACTGCCAGCTCCGGGGGCAGGGCGGTGGGTGCCGGAGCCAGGCTGAGGAGCAGCTTGGTCAACGTGAGTCTCAGCAGCTCCACAGAACCGGAGGGACTGGTGATGTCATCACTCAACACCACACTGGCTTCACTCAAGAGGACTCTAAAGGACAGCTTGGACGACCTGAAACAAAACAGAAATTATTCATGTTAAAGTGTCATATAGTGAAATAAATAAAGGACTGTAATGGTTTTCACTGATGCGTATCTAGCAGTCGTTTAGTCCGTCATATGTTTAATACTGTCGATTAGCAAGAAAACATAAGCCTAAACTAACTTATGATTCAGATGATTTGTAAGAGAATCCAAACTCATTCATCTTGTGCTAATGATGTTTTATAAATATTCCCACCAGCAGAGCACATTAACAAAGATCATTGAATGATGTAATTTGTTTACTTTTCCTAATATGTGATTACATTAATTTCCTGTTTTGCCAAAATGACAAAGCAGCTATGTGTTGATGTAATGGAATAAAGCTGTAACACCATGTTCTACTGTACTAATTTCACTCATGACAACATGAAGCTTTTATTGCCCTCCTGTGGTGAAAACGATGCCCGTTTCTCCATGTTTGGAGTCTTGTAACAACTGCTGCATGCACACATTGCTGCTAACAATAATCAGAAAGCAATTTGAAGTGAACACAATAAAAAGGCACTCGAGTAGATACCTTGAGGTTAGGAAGAACAACAAGAATGATTTCTTATGGTTCAAATATGTAGGGAGCATAAAACAACAACTATAAAACCACTGCCTGTGCACACATACCTGCTGTGCTGGTTAATTACAGCGTCCACGCTGCCCTCTGGTGCCAGAGACAGAACCAAGGTGCCTTTGTCATACTCCACGTCTATGTAGAGACAGCCAAAGCCTGGCAGGAACACAACCTGAGCAACAACACAGATCTGTGGTGAGATATGATCAACATACTTTGATACTCTCTACAAATAGAGAATGTTGCACATGCTCTTTTTCACATTAAATAAACTTCAAGAATGTAACTTTCATTCACAAATACATAGCTCAGCTCTGTACTCTTTACACTGTTCTTTGTATATGTGTGTTTCAGAGCATACATGTGTCTGACTTTAACCTCCACCACTCCAGGTTCAGAGTGATCAGCCCCTCATGTGACGAAAAGGAAGCAGATCCCTGCTGAATGCTTCGCTGAGCAGTCATAACAAGTCCGACCTATGACCTCTCACCCCTCCCACAGAGGTCAGACTCAGACCTCACAGTAACCAGAGATACACAGCCTTTACCTCAACCCCAACCTACAGCTGGCTAGACACAACACCAAACATTACACACACACACATACATACATACATACACACACCCACCCACCCAGTGGGCGCACACACACACTTCAAATCTAAAGCTGTGTGAACAAACTTTATGCAAAAAAGTTTACTAAATGTGTATAAACTGTGCACCAAATGGCACATTTTATACATATTTCGCTAAAGGTATTTTCTATACTATATATGTGATACAGTGTATTGTCATACAGGCTGTTATTAGTTAATTGAAAACATCAAGTCTGTCACAAGTGTGTAACAGGATTATTCTCCTTTGTGCTGCTAAACATGATGACGATGACAAGGTCTTTATTGTATATCAGTAGTAATTAAGAATAAGATCTCAAAGAGTGCTTGAGGACAATCTTTGTGATTAAAGTGCAGATCCGTCCAATTCTGAGAAGAGGTGTGATGGAAAATATGTTAATATTTCTACACCATCTCTTTAGAGTCAAAAGGGAAATATACTGCATATATATTGTTGAGGTGTGACATCCCCTCCCCCCCTCAAAATCCTGACATCTTTACGCCTTACAACACCTACATGCATGTTTTTACCTGAGTGCCAGGGCAGTTGATATCTATGGGTTCAGTCCAGTCGGTGGAGCTATGTTCTAAGGTGGTTTTCAACAGCAGTGTGGGCAGCATATCTTTCTGCCGGCACTCTGGGAAACTGGAAAAGTGGTGGTAGAGCTCATGGTGCAGGGAGCAATTAGCAGGCAGAGGACGGCAGAACACGTCAGTCCTTGGAGTTTCTATTGAAGATGAGAGGAAATAGTAACAACTAGTAGTATAAATAGTATTAAGGAGAATGGACGAGATGAAATGAGGAGACACCAGTCTTCCCCTTCCTACCTTTGACAGTTTCCTTTAGCAGCAGTGGGATAGGACACTTGTTGTGGATCAGCATGCGAGGAGAAAGGTCCTCATTCAGAATGATGTATGTCACCCCAAGGTGTTCCTGATAGGTCAGTACTATGCCTCTGCAAAACACAAATAAAAACCTAAATAAACAAACCCATAAATAAACTGTCCACAGACAGTTCATATCCCAACCCCCTTCTAACCACACATAGATAAGAGCTCACACACCCACCAACATGTCAAACGTCACGTTACTGCTATGTCCATTTGCAAATCTCTGAGGTGCATCCATGGGCAGAGCCCTAAGTGAAGCCAGGCGTCGACACACTCATCCATATTTGTGTTTGGCTGCATGTTCCATTTACAAACAGTAAATGAGAGCCAAGCTGGCCAGTCAAACACTGGAACATAAGGATGTATCAGAGAAAAAATATAATATGCTCACTGCCCTACGTACTGCATGCCCCCTGTACTCGGTGTCTTTGGTAACAGGATGATGAAATTGCTTTTAACTGGGATTAAAATTAAGCCAAAAAGACACAAGAAAAGAAAGAAAGACATGAGATGGGCTGAGAGGGATCAATTGCACAAGACAAACAGAGAGACTGACAGTGGAAATCTTGAGGGGCATTTCTCCTTTTGCTTCATCTGCAGCATTTAACAAGCTGTGACCAGCAACAGCACCTCCCCGCTTTATGTCCTGTGCCAGCCAGGGTTCTGTGCCCTGCTCTAAATGGACTGTCACAGCCAGCAAAACACACATGCTCTGCTTCACCCACCTGCTGCTCAGGCCACCCCCGGAGTCTGATTCCCCAGGAACAGACAAACTCTGCCTGGGGAAGTCTGGCCGGATGGGAGCGGGGAGGCTCCACGCTGCGGATCCAACTCCACCATCAGGCCTGGGAAACAAGCTGAAGAGCATGTGTCTGAGCGGAAGAGGGAACTCCACCTTTCCCTGGACACTGGTTTGGAGGAGGTCCCAGCATGGCACAGAGCAGGGTTTGGCCAGGGACGATTTTTCAGAGGGAGCCAGGCTGAACACGGCTGTCTCTGGTATCTCACAGGCCTGAGGAGAGGACATGGTACAAAAAGGAGAGGAATGAAACAGAAAAGAGTGGAGGCAGAGAGGAAGAGAGAGGGAGAGAGGGAAAATAAAAGAAGATGAGGACGGAAAAACATAAAAGCAAAAGAGAGACAAAAAAAATGGAGGTGAGGAGAGAAAATGAGAATAAAGGAGGGGAAGTGAATAAAAGTTGTGTCAGAAGAGGATATGAGATGGGACATGAAGGCCAAGTAGAAAAGAAAGACAGAAAGCAAAGAAGATGCAACTCATTACAACAAAAGATACATGGCGAAACCACATTGTTATTGTACTCTCTTCTTTCTCCCACTCAGCTTAGTGCTAAATTGGTAGCAGAGGAGCCCTGCTGTGCTGGTTTAGCAGCCAGTGAGCAGCGAGTAGTTGAAGACTACAGGGATTAGGCTCTAAGCATGATGAATAGACCAACTAGAAAGGCATTCCTAGCCTTGTTTGTGGTCTGTGTTATTGTTAAGCCCATCGCCCGCTATTTAGTTTTTTTAAGCTCTTTTTTTTTTTAAAGGTTTTTCAGTCAATTAGTGGCAACTGGCAAGCTCTGCCATCCTTCTTTAAGAGGATCTGAAGGCTCGTTAAATGACATCACTACATTGTTGCTCTCTTTTGGGAACAAGCAGCAGATGAAAGCGAGAAGGGAAACCTGCATCCAATTCTGGGTGTTTGTCTAATGTCCCTATGAAGTGCCATTGCCACATGGTGAGAACGATGGAGGGGGGAGGGGGAGGGGGACACATGATCTGATGGAAAACGGCTTACTACATACGAGCTATGTGTATGTGTGGTAGTGCTGGGGTGGATGTATGTGAGTAATGTGCATAGGGAATAAATTGTATGTGTGAAGCTTCAGAAACTCCAGCAAGACAGGACAGACATGATGCAGGGCCATAGACAAAAGCGCGCGCACCCACGACAGAACACACAGCACACAAGAACCACACCACAACACCACACACACCACAACCACACACACCACCACACCACCCACCCGAGAAACACACATCGAACTACAGAACACAACCACACACACCCAGCACACACACACACACACAACACACACACACACACACACACGCTACAACGAACACACACGCGCACACACACCCAAAAAAAAAAAAACGAAAGAAAAAAACAAAAAAAAAAAAAAAAAAAAAAAAAAAAAAAAAACAACGAACACCACACACACGCGCCGGGACACACCACACCAGCACACACCACCACACACACACACACAGGCCTTATGGTTATAAAGTAGCAATAAGGAATTGAAGCTATGGGCCCAGGATTTACACTATTTCATAGTTTTATAGAGAGCCGGAGCTAACAGTTAAGCTAGTGGGGACTTAGAGACTGGGCAGGTGTTGTGATGTATGAAATATTAGCCTTGTATAGCCTGGAACTTCTCATATGTTCTAGCACTACGCCAGCACAAGCAGTCATTTTACATGTTTAAATAAAGGTGGAGAAAGACACATACATGTGTACTTGTGCATTTCATATATTATCATGCATAAAAGTAACCCAGAGTTGACATGGTTGACATTTTCTCATTAAGCCAAAGAAGAAATCCTCTGTACTCTTGCGAAACTTCCTCTGAGTCACACTACTGGGGTCACTTATGGCATGTTTGCACGCATGGTAGTTTGAAAACAGAGTGTGATTCAGAGAAACCCTCAATTCGGTGCACAGAGAGAGGAGAGGGCGTTCTTATGTGAGCATTTACAGAGTGCACATTACCTGGTCATCGTTTCCAAGTGCATGGTCAGTCAGCAGAGGCCTGTACTGTATTATGTAAGGAGTATTGTTGACAAGAATTGTCCTGTCCTCAATCTGCAGGATCTGGATGCCATGTCTCACCACAGACGACACACAGAACTGACACAGCTACAGAGGAAACAAAGCTGTCAGCTATGATTGATTTTCAAAAATACACTCTCTGCTCAAACGTTTTCACTAAACTAAATGATACTGCATTGTACTACAGAACATTTTTATTGTACCCACCATGGCTTTGTAAAATTCAGTGACTTGTTACTGATTACATGGCCTAAAACTTTCTTACTTCTGTTTTAAAAAAAATATATATTTTCAGGTACACTTTGGTTTATCACTCAGTTTCTTATGGACAAGATATATGCAACATTAAAGAGTTAAAAATACCAGTATCAGTATATTTCTTAGGGAGTAAACAAGTAACTGATGATGTACAAAAAAAGAAAAACACCTGAAAACCACATTTAAATTCAATAAATACATGACAAAGCATGAGCTATTAGTACTGAGAATTCAATACTTTCCTGAGACACTTCAATTCAGTGACTTTCGGAGAGAAGCGGTTTGTATTTCCCTGACTGTTGTTTCTCTCACCTTTTGTTTGCCAGGGAAGGCTCCCAGGGTGATGTCAGCCTCTACGTATCCCTCCTCATCCAGAGTAACCACCTCTGAGTCTGATCCCTCCTTCCATCGAGGAGAAGTCAGGTCATGGACCAGTTTCAGTGCTGTAGACTTGTGGACGGTGTTAGTGTGGGCCCAGTAGATACCAATCTGGAAGGCTTCCTGGATGGTAGGGGACAAGAGGGCATGGAGGTGGGGGGAGAAGGAACAATGAGAGGGCGAGGATGGCAGGCAATCAGATTGAGAATGTGGAAGAAAATGAAATCATTGTCAGACAAAAGTAACTATTAAAATTGACTGTCCGTGATTGCATTTTGGAAAGAGTCACATGCTAGGGTCAGCCGTGGCTTCATTACTAACAACTCAGCACAATGTTTCTGACAGCGTCCATGTTCCCTGCATAGCATTTTAAATAGTCCTGGAACTGAGGAGTATATAACTTCCATTACTGTTGGCTTTGTTGGGAGAACATAATTTAAGGGCCCCACAGATGCTTCAATGACACACTGATTGTTCATCTGGCTGTGCAGCTCAGCAGCATTATGAAACATGCCGATCAAACACCAGCATTCTCCCATAAACCGATCAACTCTGAAAGAGTCGCAGCGGAGACCAAATCTTCTCTCCACTTATCGTGCCATGATAAAAAGCAGGGTGCTATGGAAACAATGCTTTATTTGTTTCTATTTCACAGGCTATTACACATTTACAACTTTTTATTTTGTTTCTTTGTGCTGAACCGTATCAGCGCTTGTTCTTTGATACGCTGCCTTCCCGCTTAGCCCACTGTGTGTGTGTGTTATGTTCCACAGGGGGAAAACCATCTGCAGACCTCTTCTTCTGATCTCAGAAGCCAGTGTGAAGACGTGCCTACAGTATACGGTGACAGGGCTTGGCTGCAGATAAAGACTTAGGCAGGGAATATTGTTGTAATGCAGCTCTGGTGAATGATCTCAGGTTTTGTGCTTATTAGTTGAGACTGAAATGAGGAAAGAGCTGGTTTCATAATGAAGGCTGTCATGCCACGAAAAGACAGACTTCCAGGTCTTGATCTAAAGACAAAGTATCTTCAATGCAAAAGGAAGATCATTGTAGATCATATAGGAATGTAAATTTGGAAAGTATACAGTCTATTAATGTCTTTAAGAATCAGAATTGCTTTTAATGGCCAAGCACTTTTGCCAATACTAAACTTTTGACCTGATGGGAAACATTTGAAAGTTGACATTCATGCAATGACTCCTTTGACGTAGCACAGTTAACAGTAGTTACGTATTATTTAAAGTGTAAGTGGTATAGGAAAATTAAAAACAGATACTTTGTGTTTTTCAATATATATTTTTGCAAATTAAATTGTGAAACTGTTGTGTGGCTGTGGAGGGATACTTTAAAATATAAGAAAGTAACAGAAGGTCTACATGACAAACAGAAGGCATGACTTTTTGAAGACACGGATACCTTGTTGCAGTTAAACTGCATTATGGGAAATATAAGATCCAGCATTTTTGGAGATTTTGTCAGGATATCTGCCTCAGCAGGGTTGATTTTAACTGCTCCTTTAATAACCTGTATGTTGCAGGATATATATACTTTAGCTGGCACCCTACCTTGAAGTTGGGTGGTACAATGACCTTGCCGGCTGGTATCTGCAGTACGATGGTCTCTCCCTCGAAAAGCCAGAGGTCCCACTGGGAGTGGTTGGCCAGGAGGGCCCAGGGCAGCAGCTCTACCAGCAGAGTGTTCAGGCCGGACTTCCAGCAGGATAACTTCACCTGCATGGGACTGTCCCACTGGGCAAGGGGCTCCAGCACTGACCTGTGGGGAGAGAACACACCATTATTGAAATCAACCCAATAACATCTCAGTATAGGAATATAGACATGGGTTCAATCTTACAGGCAGAGCCAGTAGAAGCTCTAGCATTTACAGTAACATTCTGCATACATTTTAAACACGTGGAACTTCTGCGAATTAAACATGTAATCCTGACACTGTTGATGCTGTGCTCAAAACTACTCATAATGAAGGCTGTCGTGTGGGCTACACAAGACTACAGACAAGCAGGCAGACATGCTGAACAAATTTCACTCAATTAGGCCACTGCAGTAAGGCTATGGGTGCATAGGCCGTAAACACATAGCTATAATCACATATATATAGACAGAGAGACAGACATGCAGCTACCTGTAATGCAGTATTGATAAACAATCATTGTCACATGGGCTTTGAAATAAATCTCATTTATGCTCAATCACTAAGATACAGTAAAGGACACAATTCCCCCTGTCTGCTCATGTAATTTGGCAATAGACATGTTTTACACACTGCCAAATGTAGAGCAGCACGCAGCCTTAAACAGGCACTCAAATGTGTTGTATATAAACAAACAGTTCTTATACTGTTATACTATGCAGACCATTAACACACCGACAGTCGGTCTGACTAAACAAATACATAGAAAGAAAAGGTCTGCAAACAAGTTATGCAACACAAACAGATACAGAGAACAGTTGACAAGGCATCTGGGAACACACACGGGCATGTGGAGACGTAGACAAACAGGCGGACAGACAGAAACACACAACCATTTTTCCACCCGTCCACTGACACAGCAGTCATTTCACGGTAATCATGGTCTTGTGAACCCTAAACAGCGCTGAGTGCCAGAAGAGAGCCAAACAAACAGTTCTCTCAGCCTTACTCTGAAGTTCAAAGCCATCAAAGGCGACCCAGTCTTTCCTCTCCCTCAAGGCCGCCTCAACTCTGCTCAACCTACCAACCTGCCATCTTAAACTTGTCACACACCCAAAAGACTCGCTGCTGTGAAATGGGACTTAAAAAGAGCACAGACGATAGTTTTTCTTTACCATTTACTAGTGTTTGTGTGTGTGAGTAGCTAAATAGGACACTGACCTCGAGGCAGAGGGCAGCAAAGTGCAGGGCTCATAAATCAAATTACAAGGCTCGCAAAGAGGCAATAGAAAGAAATGTGCTCAGCAGCTTCTGTCAAAACCCACCAACTCTGGAGTTGAGGGTTTTAGAAGTGTGAATTTTGAGAAGCACACACACACAGCCGGCAGCAAGAGCCTAGCCTAACCCCAACCACTACAAGATGTTTGTTTAATGATTGTGGAGGTGCCTCTCTGCCATTAAAAATCCAACAGAGAAAGAAAAATAACATTTACCACTTTCAACTTCCTCTGCCCCTTTAAGACACAATATTTACACACTCCCTGCCAAGCAGTTCAGTTGGTTTGGTTTCTCCACTGTGCCAGGGAGACTGAACACTCGTTCCAAACTGCAAACTGTACCACTGTTATCGACATTGAGGAAAAATATACAAATTAAAACTGTGGCTTTCACTTGCCATCCAAGTTCTCTGTGTGTTTAGAGATAGCAATCAGTGCTATTAATCCTCTATTGACACTTTAAAAACTCACTTACCACTTTTCCCTGAACATAAAGAAGCTAATTTCTGCGTTTCAGACAAACTCTCCATGATGGCAGTCTTGTGCTTTGTCTCACAGGGAAGAGAGAGGCCTGACTGACAGAGAAACCTGACACCAAACCGCCAGATAGCAGCCCTCCGCTGAGACGCCTGTGTGTGACATTTAAAGGTGAGTGATGTGTATGGTGGCGTGCGTATGTAATAGTGGTATGAGTGTGTGTATACATGTGCAGGGCAACAATCTGTGTGTGTGTTTGCGTATGTATAGAGAGCCAGAAAAACGCAGGCAACCACAGGCAGACATATAGCTCACATGTCCAGCAGATCCACAGGGACTCTTTGTAATCCGGAGCCTGTGGGAGAGCATGTGGCTTCGACTTTACCACTGCTATCAAGATGTGATTGCTTTGTGACAAAAGATGATTCCCAGAGTGACATTTGTGGACAGATTCACAATGTGTGTGCTGCCCTATGGTATACGTAAAAACTTACGAGAGGGCCTCATATACACACACGAGTATACATACACATATGTATATGCACACACTGTATGATCTGCAAAGCTGTGCCAAGTTTTAACTGGATGCAAGCCCCTGTGACTTGTGTGAGAAAGTGGGACTGTGACAGACTGACAGCCTAAATCTCCGGTCTGTGGGGATCCCCCGCTAACGTCTGATGCATGGCTCTGCATTGTCTTTGCAGTTAACGGTTCTATTATGTGAACAAAGAGTCAGCCTCATTAAAGGGCTCGCTTGCACAACTTTGTGCTTTGAGGAGGGATGCCGTATGAGGCCTACTATTAGAAATTACACTCTGGTTGGTCTCAGTGAAATTTGTGTGATGAAATCCTAACAGCCAGATTTAATGCTTGCCGCAGAAGTGCTATATACTAAAGATGAAGCAGAATTATACATGTTGATTTGTAAATGAAGGATCATGAGGTGTTATGGTGTCTAGAGGGGATGAAGGCTCTTGTACTCATGATGTTTTTGAGAATTTGGCTCCCAACAATTTTGTGTCACTATTTCTCTATCCTGCATTGATTCACCTTGTTTATCCTACCAAGGTGCATGTAAGTGCAGAAGGGCTCCTCAAGGTTTTGTTTAGGACAGATACAGCTAATGAAATGGTTAATGGTAAATAGACTGCACTTTCTGGTCTTCTTACCACTGAAAGTGACACCAATGGCACAACATCGGGAGCAATTTGAGGTTCAATATGTTGCTCAAGGACATGCTGTATACATGATGGAAAAATTACTTTCTCACTTCATCTACAAATAAATGAATACATGTCTCTGCATGCTCCTGCAAAGATATTCAGACAGGGGGAATGGCGAAGCCAGATGGTGAGATCATGAAATAAAGTTCAGTCCACAGATGAAAAAAACGTATGAAATACAAAACGCACATCATTACTACATTTCAGTATGTTTATATCTCTTATTGTGTATATATGTATTATTACCACTACAAGTATAAGCCAAAACAAAACTGGGTCCTGGCTGACCGGACACTGTGACCGAGCTGTGCGAACTGGAGACGTGACTCGGCACTTTTAGTTGGGGGAGACTGTGTACAGGTGTATGCCGTTTTATAGATCTATATATTTTATTGTGTAAGTAGATTCTGAGCTTTGTGAGTACGTGTTTTAGGATGGAATCTATGCTGAGTTTTGTAAATGAGGCCCCTGGTCTCTTAACCTCTCTTAACATGTTAATGAACATCTTTGTTAATATACAGCTCTCTGTTTAGAATGTACTTTTTTAATTATCTTTAATGAATAAAAAGATGATCAAGACTAATCATGAAAGTATAAGCACAAAAGGTTAAACGTATTTTTACTCACTGTATCTCTATTTCCCTTTATGGCCACATGAACATATGTTGCACACCTTCCAATAAAAGACATTCGCACAAGTGCAGGTTACTGAGCACAGAACAAATGTGGAGTACCTGTCAGTATCTTTGGTGACATATGGCCATGGTGGCTCAGTGGAGGTTTTTGGACCATAGAATTCAGCCAGGATGTGTTCCAGGTTGTCCTCATTTGCAGTCTTGTTCACAATCTGTTTGATTAGGCTGGTGGAGATTGGTACAGCACAATGGGAAGCATCTTCATCCTCCCTGAAAGATGGAGCACAAACAAACAAAATCATTACAGACTTCTCTAAGATAAGTGTGATACATGTGTTTGTCTTTGTGGGGAAATGTAGCCAATGTTCATTTTGGAAATAGATACTTTACAGGACATGTATATTCTCAGTGATTCTCAAACATGTGCTATCTTCACCCAACAATCTGCAGGTCCTCCTGCCAAGCAGGCAGTGTACCAGCTGATTTCACTTACCTTGATTATCTTCTCCTCTGTGGTGGATGGTGTGATAAGTGATTGCTTGAAATGAAAACCTACATACTCTCAGGGTCATAAAGGCACATGGTTGTGAACCAGTGCTGTACATTTTGTCAGCAAAATCTGGCTCGGAAGTATGTTTACTTATTTTATGCCAAAAACAATTCAAACTTATTTTTTATTTCACTATAGAACAAGACATCTCTTGACAGCAGCTGACTATTCCCATTGTTCTGTTCAGAACAATTAAAGTGACCTCCAGCTAAACTCTGCTTCTACCCTGAAACCTCGAAGAGAGTTGAATCTGCCTTTTGTTTTGGATTTTAGTTCCTGACATGCAGTCTTGCCTTACAAACACTAATTCACAAAGATCATAGAAAAAGCTAAACAGCAGTAAATAATCCTATTGGATACTTCAGCCCCAGACACTGGTCAATTATGGCTTTGCAACAAGAAGAAAAAAATAACGAAATCCAAACAGTGTAATAGCTTCTTCTCTTTCTCTGGGCAGCATCCAGTTCCACTTGGCTAAACTGAAGCAGCCCCCTTACCCCAGAGCAGCAGTTTATTAATAGAGCTCATTGTGCTATAAAAGGAACACAGGGGCTATTGCTTATGGATCTGGGGCAAGACAGAAAAGAGGGACAAGGTGTTGACAGGAAGCTTTTCATCCAGAGCAGTTCCTGAGGGGGGAAACTGGAAGAGGCTTCTGATTGTAACCCTCAGCTTTCTAATGTGGTGGCCAATATAAGGAGAGCAGGACATAACAGTTCTGGTTGAGACTTGTCTGTGTCTCTTGTGTCGCAGACCGCAGCTCTGCTCTCTACCGCGTCCATTAGAGCCCACAACTATGTATAATTACAGGAAGGAAAGACGAGCTGTTGACCAGCGAACATTCAAGATTGGATCCGTCCTAGAGGTTGGGGTTTGGGGGGCTGTATGTGTGCTCGAAGGTACATTTACAATTGTGGCTTGTAGTGTGTGTGTTTGTGAGGATGGAGAGGGATGAGGGATGGATTGAGTTGGGGGGGGGG